GGCTTGCAAGACGCGCCGCTGCTGAGGATGCTGATTCTGGCTGCGGCCCGCCCGTTCGCGCTGGGCCTCTCCTCCGTGTTCCCCGCACAGCGGCCCTGCGAGGTAGGCCGGGCTGAGCCCCATGGCCCGGTGGGGCTGGGAACGCGCACCGTGAAGCCGCGGCGCCTTGCACACGTTCCCGGCAGGGCTGCGCAGACCATCTCAAAAGCAACAAGCCACGGGGGAGGAGTGTCTCAGTGAGCACAATGGGCCTACTCTGAGTAGGGCCAATTCAGCTCCGGGACGCCGGGGCCTGGTCAGCCCACACCTCTGGGCCCCTCTCCCACGAACGCCACGCAACCGAGCGGCACAAACAGCTTCCTTTCCTTTTGCTCCTGCCATTTTGACCCGCGCGCAAAAACGCCTAACGCAGACCCTGCGCAACAAGGGCCACCTCGACGCAAAAGCAAAAGCACAGCGCAGAGAAAAGGCTGAATGAAGCTCCAGAAAGGTCAGAGGACAAGGAGGAATCCAAAATACAATCCGTCCGGTACATACCCAGTCCAAAACAGGATCACGGAGGCGTTGACGAGTGTGGAAGATGGGACAGGAAGGGCCAAAACTGCGTGTTGCTTCCGGCACTGGCATTCAGGCTGCCCAACAGCGCCTGCTCGGCCCCACCCAGGCTCAGGTGCAGGCATTTGCTCCTGATTAGCCCTGCTCCCGAGGAGACCTTTCCAGCACGCAGGCGCGCCTCCTCTGGAGGAACCCTCCTGGCTTGTGGAGGAGCCGGCCCAGTGGATGCTTGGATAGGGATGGCTCCAATGCAGTTTGCCCCGAAATGCGTATTTTCGTAGTTTAATCTACAGGGACAAGGGATCTGCACATTAATGGCCTTTTTTATTTCGTGTATTTTGGTGTTTTTAAAGGCCAGTGCAAGGGAGCAGTTGGACTGGGATTTGGGAGACCCAGGTGCTGGTTCCTACTGGGTGGTGTTGAGCCAGCCATGATGCTCGGCCTTGCCTACCTCACAGGGTTGTTGTGAGAATGAAGGCTATGTGAGTCCTCTTGGGTTTCTTGCACAAAATGGCAAGGTGTGAACTTAGCAAACAAATAACAAATTTGGGGTGAGGTGAGAACCCCCAAAGTGTATTTCACTCAGCTTGAATTCCCAGAATGAACCCCATTTCCTTCTCAGTTCCCCACAGAGAGGCCTGATACCGTAACCATGGCAACTTCCAAACCGCCCAGGGACCCGGGAGATCTCGGAGACACCGGATTTCCCTGGATGAGCCGGCTTTGGGCCCCTAAGCGCCACCTTTACTGCTCCACGCTTGGCTCCACAGCAAATCTCTCCTTTTTGCAGAAAAGGGGTGTCCTTTAGACTCTAAAGGGGCCTTTAGACCAGGAAGCACAGGGGAGCCAGCTGATCCCGGCATCTTTTCAGCACCTGGCACCCTTCCTGGCTCCTGCATTTTTCAGGCACCGGGTAGCACCCCAGGGCAGTTTTCGGGCACCCTATTCCCATCCCGCCAAGGCTCGGCCAGCAGAGGGCGCCCTCTGCCCAAGGCGCCCGCCGCTGCAGTTGTCTTCCCTTGTTCTTCCAACACCAATAATTGGACTAATAAATCTTCCGCAGAATGAGAAAAGCGTAATTGGTGAGGAAAAGGGATTGTTTATGTCATCCTGTATTATTTTACCATGTAGCTGAACGGAGAGAGAGAGAGAGAGAGAGAGAAGGGAGAGACCACAATGGGAGACGCTTCCATGGAGAAAGCAAATCTTTCCGTTTCTGATTTTGCTCCTGTGCATGGAAAAGAGGCAGGGAAGGGAAAAGAAGAAAGCTTTCCAGGGTGGGCAGGTGGGGACTAAGGCGAGGCATGCCATAAAGGCCAGGGCGGGGTGCCTTATCCATGGCAGCTTTAATTCTGAGCTCTCCATGGTGCTGAACCTCATTCCCCAGCTCAGTTCACCCCCCCCCCCCCGGGAGCACCCTGCTTTGCTCCTGTGGAGCTGAGACAACATCACCTGTCGTAAAGGTGTCTCCAGTCTCGCCCCAGAGGAATGGTTTCCCCATCCTCTGCTAGCTGATTATTCTAGTTCCACAAGCACCTCCTTCCCAGGTTAGGGTTGGACGGCTGCTCAGGCAAGAGGCTTTGGGGTACCATGCAAAGGGCACCCATGGTCCACGAGCTGCTTCCCCATCCTATCTAGAAGGTAGCCTGGCTGCTTGGCTGCATTTCATTGTCGAAAAAGTATTTTTAAGAGTGACGTACCACTCTGCATCAAAACCAGCACTAAAATGAGCACTGGAAGACAGGAAGATAGATAGATAGATTTGGGAGACTGAATAGGTTGTGTTTGTTTAAAATCCCCTTGGCAATGTTGCTCACTTTGCTCACTTTGCCTTGTTTCGCATTCTTTTTAAAGTATTTGCACATGTTAAGAAAATAAAGATCGAAAAGAAACGATACCAAAAGCAGAAGCAAGACGGGCCGAGGCTCTGTGGCAAAGCCACTGCCTTCCATGTGGGCACACTCACACTTTCTCGCACACTGATAAATGTACCCATTTTGCAGACAGGGAAGACTGAAGGCAGTACTGTGCTCAAGACGGCAGCTGAAGCAGGGGGTTTGGGGTTGTCCCGTTCATCCTGCGTGGAGATCCTAAGGCCACGTTGACTGGTAAGAATGCCCCACTCACTCTGAATTCATGGTGCGATCCTGGGCATGTTAGCCCAGGCATAGGCTCCACTGAATTTAATGGGGCTTATTCCCTATAGGATACAGTATCCCAGCCTCCATTTCAAGGAAAAATGCACATCCATGTATACAGACTGTTCCAAAGAGCCACTGAGAGATAAACTCCAGAAAGTTCAGCCAGCCAAAAATCCAATAAAAAACTTCCTTTCTCCAAGGGTGGGAAGCATATTTTGCAAACACAATTAAGGCAAAAGATCATATTCAAAGGGAAACAGTTTATGTTGGCTATGTGAATCAAAAGGAACGGAACGGAAGATTTTATGGGCTGTGAGGGCTTTAAGTTGTTGTTGTTGTTCTATTTAAATTCAGCTATGACCTGCCCCCCCTCACAGCCCCCTCTGGCCAGACCAGCTTTTCTCTTGCTGTCGCTTTAAATCAATCTTCGTTTCCCCCTCCCCACTGCTGCGCCTTTTTCGTTATATCTCTGTAATGCAAAGCGGATGTTGATGTGAATTGAAGCATTTTAATCTTTCCTGATCAAAATGAAATGCAGACCCAACGGGATTTATAGCAGACTTCCTACACATCCCCTAATTGAAAATAATAACAAACATATTCATTTTTAAATTTTTTTGAAAGAAAAATATAGTCTTGCTGAAACAAGAGAAGAAACAACAATAATAAAAAGACTCCCAAGTTTGGAAGAGAAGAGGCAATCTCTTAATATTCATAAATTCCCCATGATTTTTTATTGGTTAAAAGAAACAAGAACCCCCAAACCTCCAAAACTGCCAAATTGCATGTGAATCAGTCAGGGAATTAAAAAGAGAAAACCATGCCAGAAGTTTGCAAAAGGGATGAACTATGAGCTGTAAGAGAGTTGGGAGTGGTCTGAGGCCAGCTTCCAAAATACTTTTTTTTTTAATCTCATCGTGGCTTCAGATCAAACAGGTTGCATGGGTTTTTGAAGCAGGCCCAAAACCTCAGTGACCTGTTTTGGCCAGAGGCAAATTGAAACATAGGTATGTATCAGAAGCAGCCTTCTTCAAACAACCTGCATGCTCCGTAACGGCCTCCAGTCTTGCTTTAGTGTCTGGACTAAGCCCTAAAAAAGATTTATAGAGAAAATTTTGTTCCATCAATGTTTTGTGGACTCACCCATCTTCTGCTCCGTAGTCTGCTCACTGATGCATTTGGGCTTTCTTTTTTTACCAGAATTTTGTTCTAATCATGCCAATAGATATTAAAGCTCAGGTTCATGAGAGCCAGCATGGCAGCGAGATCCAAATTCTAGTCTCCACCTGATCATGCAGCTTGCTGGGTGACTTTAAGCCAGTCCCTCAGGCTCAGCTGAATCCACCTCACAGGGTTGTTGTTGTGAGGTTAACCTGGAACCATGCAAGGCATCTTGGGTTCCTCGCAAGAGGAAAAAGGCAGGATGCAAACCCAACGTGATCACAATTAATGCTGGCACAAATGTACACAGATCCTTGTCCCCACCCAAAAAATAAAACTTGCTCTCACTCTTTGGTTCTGCTGTCTGTTCAATGAAACTAGATTTTTAAAAACTGGATTTCATTCTACTTTTGTTTAAGTGCGTGAGTGCCAAGGCCCCATAGCCTGTTAGTACAAGGGCAAGCTAATAGGGGCATAATCCTGCCCCCCGTGAAAACTGGCCTGCAGAATTGGCATGACTCAGAAAAGGTTTGTCTGGCTGGCTTTTCCCATACCCTTAATCCAAAGGCCCGAATTTTCTGTAGGGTGCAGAGAGCCCTGGCGAGGTGATCAGGTAGTTGGGACACCTTTCACCTGTGAGGAACAGATCAAGTGGGGTTATAGTTTAGAAGAGGGGTGGGAAGGGGGGAAGACACCTGGCCTGGGGACAGACAACAGTGTGGTTGGGTGTGAGAAGCAACCCAAACGGGCCGAAAGAGCGCCTGTCCAGTTGCCACAGACGCCGGTTGTGGACAGACGTTTCCGGCCCTTCGCGCCGATTCCTCCACTGTTCTCAAACAGCCGAAACGTCTCTTCTAAGACTGAGGGACTGGGAGGAAGGCCAAGGGCTTGTCCTGCCCTTGTTTGCTGCTTGCTCTCTTGCTTCTAGATGTGGTTTGCCTGCCGGATCCGGCCCTCAAAACCTTCTCTGCAATGCAAGGCAGCCCTGGAGCCAAACGCCCTTGCTTTAAACAGAGACGCCTCCTCGGCAGCTGTTCAGAGGACGGTGCCTTGCAGACAAGGACACCTGGCCACCGGAGGCCCATCCGTCCGCACCTTACGTCCCAGGTGAGGGTAGAAAGCCAGGGAAACGTGTTCTTTGAATATTTTTTATTGAAAGGACTCATCAAAAAAATGGAACAGATAGATACCCGAATAACCGGCACATTTCTAATCATCTCTCTTTAAAAAAAAATTAAAACAATATATAGCACACTGTCGAGGTGATATTTTAAATTTTAGTATATTTTTAAATGTTTGTGGTGGGGCTTTCTGCCCCCCTTGGTTGTTCTGGAGTGAAAAATAAAAACCTGAGGTTTATTCCTGCATAATTTTTTTTATTATACCCTGCAGTATAAAAGAGATTGTGTTGTTTCATCCATTCTCTCAGTGTTGCATCGCTATTTGAATGATTATATATTAGGAGGGGGTGTCCCCTCTAAAGTCCCTTTGAAAAGGATTTAAAAAAGGTTTTCAACCCCTTTTTCTTCATTTCCTAAAAGTGGTCCTGATGGCACATGATTGTCTTCGGACAAGCAGGGTAAACATTTTTTTTTTTTTTGTTCAGCCACAAAAAGTCAAAAGAAAACCAATATTTTCTTTCATTCACAAAGAGCTAAATAGGTCTTCATTTACAATAGGTATGTTCACATAAAATGAAAAAAGAACAATTAAATGTGATGAGTTAAACTCTAATTATGTACACTCCAATGTACAACTCTAAATAAATTAATACAAATTTTTGCATATTTTGGGATTTGTATAGCTTATTTACAGAAATTACCATTTATTCCATAAATATTAGGTTTCTTTTTCCTTTTTAATTTTTTTTCCTGGTACACAGGGAGAGTCCGAAAAGAGAAAGAAAGAGAAAGTCACGTGGATTGTACCAATTCTGAAATTTTGGGTTTGTTGTTTTGTGTCAGTATCTTATGGCCCTTCAAGAATGACGGGTAAATGGGTAACAGCTTGAAAAGTTTTGCTTCTCTCATCTGCATTGTCTCGCACGAACCTTCCATGTTCGTTCTGCTAGAATTTGTTGTTTTTAAAAAAAACTTTCTCCCACTTTCTTGCTTTAGATAACAGGACCCAAAGCAGTGTCTGATTCGAGAGTTTGTTCCAATAAACCATGAAAAAAAGCCAAATGCCTTTCCAACAGTGATTCAGAAATTGAAACAGTTAGAAGCGAGTGCCCTTTAAGCATCCATCCAACACGACGCCCTCCGGGACCCTCCATAAATGTGGTAATATAATATAGGTAGTCTTGTTCAGACCGCAATCTGGTCTCAGCCAAAGTAGGAGACAAGAAGAATTCGGGACCTTTGCTGTGAAATCTCCAGAGCGAAGGCCGGGTGTATCTGGAGGCCGGTGGCAAGGAAAGGTTGAATCCCAGAACGTGGGACCAGCGCTGGATGGATCTCGGCTTCGTCCCACCCAGTTATACCGCTGGATCGTAACACGCTCCCCTTGGCGATCCAGCGGAGGTGGTGGGACCTCCCACTCGGCCGTCTCTGTTCCTCGTTCTCCCCGCCCGCTCTTAAAATCCCACTCCACCTCGCTATAAAATAAATACACTGTGCTGTACACATCATCCCGTCCGAAGGAGCCGCCTCGGTGGCCAGTCACTTGGGGGACTCCCGGCTAGGGGAGACGTCTCGCTGGCTTTCCAAGCCACTAACTAGTCTTTGGATGTTCTGAAGTTCATTGATGGAATCCTTTAAGGAGCCCTTGGGGGACAACGACGCCCTCTGGCCACTGGGCTTGTGGACGGGGTGGTCCGAGAGGGGGCTCGACTCCCTGCTGCTCCCGGGCTTGGAGCCTTCTGAACTGGTGTTCAAGCCGGCGGGCAGGCTGGTGGTGAGGAGGTTGGTGCTGGGTGGGATGGCGACCGGGATCTGGTAAGGGCTGAACCGCAGGCGAGGACGGGCGTTGCTCAGGAAGGGGTTCCGGGACAAGGAGCTGGAGGCCGTGCTCGTTGCTGGTATCGCGGACGCGGCGGCGGCGGCCGCTGCCATGTAAGTGTACGGGTAAGGGAAGAGTCCGCCAAAGGTGGGCACCGGGATTCCCTGAAATGAGAAAGAAAAGCTCAGATTCTGCAGGTGCGGAAATACCCCGAGGAAACACCGGAGCCGAGCTGGAGAACGACCCGAGGGCCTTCCTCGGGCCGGTTGGCCTGTCTTTCCTGGTGGAGACACGCCTTCGGCGCAACACATACTGCCGTGTTACCTGCTTTGCGAGCCAGTGTGATCGGAAGGGTGGCCTGGGACTCGGGAGGTGTGCGGGTTCAAGGCCCCACTCGGCCAGGAAGCTGCCTGGCTGCCTTCGCACCGGTCGAGGACTCTCGACCCAGCCTGCCTCACAGGGCGCTGATAAGTCGCTTTGGGTTCCTTGCAGGCCGATGTGCGAAACGGACGCGGGACAGCTGCCCCTCCTGCCACGACGGGTCCCGGGGTGGCACGGATGCGATCAAGGCCAGCCCTGACCCTGGTCACCGGGAGGGCCGGTGCAGCACCTGCGGACGGCCCCCCGTTTGGACGAGGAGAGGATCCCGAGTCCGTCCTCCCCAACACCTCGGCTCAGCTCTTAGGCCGAGCTTAGCACATGGGGGAGGGTCTGTGGCTCAGCGGCGGAACAGCCGGTCTGCAAGGTCTCGAGTCCAATTGTGGAACCTTCTCCTGAAAAGTCCGTGATGGGAAAAGAGCCTTCTCTGCTTGAGCCCTGGAGAGCGGACACGCGATCGCGAGGCGGACCCACAGCCTGGCTTCGGACGGCACAGTGATTCAGGCTCGCCCGTCACATGTGGTTTGCCACTGCACTGTATGTTGCTGTCGAAACATTATCCCTGCTGTCTTGGCGGGGTTCAGACGACAAAACCTGTTGGCAGGTAAAAAATTGCTCCCCCTTTTTGCTGCTGTTGCGTGGGCTGAATTTGTGCTCTGCATTCGGGAGAGGGGGGATGGGTTCCGTGGGGGGGAAGCTGGTCTCCCCCCCAAACCCTTGGAATGTGCCCTCCGTGTCTCCCAGGTGTTCCTGCGATCCCCCCAAATGTTGCGGGGGGGCAACACACCATCAACACCAGTGGCAACTTTGCTCTTTCGCAGGAAGCAGGGGAAAATCACAGCATAAAGGAGAAAGGTAGTTTTCACTGGAATTACAACTTGGGGTAGGATATTTATATGTATATATTTATGTTTCTATTTATGTGTATTTAAATACAATTCCTGGCACCAACACTTTTCTCTTTTCGGCACCAGGTGAAAACCTTTTTATTTTCCCATTGTTTTAATTGCTAATTGGCCTTAATTGTGGTTTTATATTTATCACTGAATGCTGTACCATTTTTATCCTATTTTATCTGCGCTTCTTGTAAACCATCCCGAGATGCCAGTGATGGAATGGTACATGAAAGCTTTAAATGAATATATTTATATTTATATTATTTATATCCTGCCTTTTTCTTGCAAAGAACCAAAGGTGGCATGCACAGCTCCCCCTTTCCATTGTCTCTTCACAACAACCCTGTAAGGGAGGTTACGCTGGGAGTCGGCACAATTGTTCTTGGCCACGTGGGGAGTCAAAGCCAAGCCTCCCAGTTCCCCTTCCGACACTCTTAAGCTCTCCCACACGGATTAAACTCCCTCCGCACAGTCCTGCCCCCCCACTCCCTGCAGCTGCCTTTCCAAATGCGAACCCAGGATGTTGCCTTTCCCACAAACCCATGAGAGCCTGCGACTTCAGGGGCCCCATCACCAGCCCTGAGGAAGCTTTCCTTTGCAACACTCAGTACGAGGACACACAGATCAAGGCTTGCTGTATTTTCCGAACGCTTATTCGACTGAAAGATGACCTAACTTCCTGCATGCCTTCATGTGGACTAGAAACAGCCTGTGCCCAAAGCACATTCCCATCCCCCCCCAACACGCAGCTTCTCTTTGATCCCACCCAGAGGAAACTCTTATCCAGGCAGCAAATGCTGCGTAAGAGCAATTTTCTGAGCGCCTACGCAGGAGTAAGACTGGCCGAGTTCCATGGAAAGTGTCCCTAGCATAGTTGTCTCCAATTAGAAAGAACTCTAGGCAGGCCTTCAAACAGAGAACTTGTAGGGCCCAGTCCTGGGAATTTAAGACTTTTTTCTGTCTATGCATGCATAGGATGATAGGATTTTTTCTGCCTGAATGCACACAGGATTCTAAAAACAGGATTGGACTCTTTTCTGCTTCAACATGCGTAGGATCTCACCCACTGGGTGCAATCCTGAGAATGCACCGGCCTACTTGGATCACAGGCAGACTGCTGGAACAACACGTGGCGTCTAATTCTGGTTTCTACGCCACAGAAAGTGGCGAAATGCTTGGACGAAGGGTTACAGTGGGAAGAAAAAATTTCACACGTGTGACCAAAAGGAAAGGAGGACCCCAGTGTGAACACACGTTGTGTATGCTAGTTTAGAGGTACACATGCAGACGCAGAAATAAATGTAGACCCTTCGTGGGAGCATCAGAAGCTGCCCTCTGCAGCGTCAGATCGTCCAGCTCAGTACCGCTGACACCGGCCATCAGTCGCTGCACAGAATTTCAGGCAGGGGCTCACCGATCCGGCCCTGGGACCTCGGACATGGGAAGCTGGTGCTCCTTCACTGAGCTATGACCCTCCCTCTAAAAACAAAGCAAGGTTCTAGTCCCCATGGTTCTGAACAAAGGGTTTATTTAAATAGGAAGGTAAGAAGCTGTCTCAGACAGGGTCAGACCCTGGGACCATCTAGTCTATTGCTGACAACACTAACTGGCAGGGACATTTCTCTGGGGTTTCGGGTAGGAATTTTGCCAGCCCTCCTGGCAAAGCATGGGATTGAACCCCCAACCTTCTACGGGCACTCCAGGCCTGGGCAGTATGTCATATGAGCTTGCTTTTCCCATGTGCTCACAGTGGGTGGGTCACCTTCTGGAACGGTTCTCCAGCCCTAAATCAGAACTGGACACAACAGCACTTTAAATCAAGGGTGGCCTTCTGGTCAGCCCTTTAAAAAGAGGACTGTCCCCCAGAAAGAGGCCACATGGACACACTGGCCCTGCCTGCAGAACCACACTGGCCAGGTGGCAAATGCACAATGCGAGTACACAGAAAACCCACCAAGCAATAAAAACTACCCAGCATAGCTTGACACAGGCTAGAACCTCTGTCTTCGACTTAGGGCCGTCCATACTCTGGGCTGCACCTCCCATCAGCCCCAGCCAGCAGGAATGCAAAAGACCCTGGAGGGCACTGGAAAAGCCTGGGGCAGATATGCAGAGAAGTGGCTGGAGAGCTACTTCACCGGCCTTCGCATAGCCAGGTACAGTGAGAGCACCGGGAAATTAAAAAAGAGCCGCATCTGCTTGGAGCACCGGAAAGGTTCTTCGCCACAGCGGAGCCGGCCGTTGGCCGTGTTAATGTATCGCTGGATGCCAATTCAAGCTGAGCTCATTTTGGGGCTAGTCAGATGTTTATCTGACATGAGCAATACCCTGTCTAAAGCTGTGCTTGTTGCACTAATACGCAGGCACACGCACATCCCCTACGCCAAGGAAAAGCTAAACTTTATTTATTTTACGCACGGTCTTTGTATACTGCACCACATCTAAGCAGATTCCAAAGTAGTGATCAATAACATGACAAAAACAGATGAAAGAACAAACAAATGTATTAAAATGTGCAAACACTGCTGGTCATTTCCGCTCTGCATCTGCTGGTCCCATCTTTTCCAGCGCCCTTCATCCAACCTTACATCCTCCAGATGTGTTGGACTACAAGCCACATCATCCATGCACTCTGCTAGCTGAGGATGATGGGGATTTTTAGCCCGCCACACCTGACGAGAGCCAAGTTGCATGAAGGCCACATTAAGGCTTTGCTTAGCTCCGTAAGGCCTAGAAACGTTCTGGACCCTGGAAAGTAAGAGGGTCCCAGCTGCTGAAATATACAACTAACAAATACCTAACTCCAAAGGTATTTGTGGGGGCAATTCCTCCCCCTTACCAAGGTTTCAGACAAAGCTGCATTATTGTTTCCAATAATTTATTCATCCCCTGAACTATTGTCTTGAGAGAGATCCAAATGGTGCCAAGATCCAGTCGGTTCTCTCTTCGTGTCAAACTTGAAACGTTCTTTGCTTGGACACTTGGAGGAGAAATTAGATAATTGCAAACTGAATTCACCCTAGACTGTTTTTAGCTTGATGGATCGCTGTTTTTTTGTTTGCTCCGGCTTTGTCGCAACTAGATTATACTGTTTAAAACATTTAAGGCCTCTGGTGGAGAAGCATAGTGTGGAACAACCGTGTACCCTCGAGCCAGGAAAAAGAATCTAATCAGCTTTAACGAAAACGAAATACGCGTGCAATGCCAATTCTATCCTGTCTTCAAAATCTACATTATTCAGGTGAGGCTATTTGCCCCGTGAATTCAATATGATCACCTCCACAGTCACACACACACAAGGACTCTTTCCTTATCCGCTGCTACCTGATCCTTTGAACTGCAGATACGGGGAATTTAACCTGGGTCCTTGCCCGGTAAGCACCAATCCTTTCCAAGTTTTGAAATGTCTCTTAGAGCCTGGCAGGCGCAGCCTGAAGGACAATAACGTGGTGTTTCTATTGCAATTTTAGCCCCACCTTTTGAATTTCGTCCTGTCCCCTTTGCCATTGTGGAATGCAAACCCCACCAGGTTCTCCAAAATGGAGGGGAGCCCTTGGGATGGAAGAGGCACCTCACCCTGGCCTGAGGCCTTGCCCCCCCCCCCCCGGCTTAGTATTTCAGTCTGACTAGGAGAAGGGATTGGAGAGCGCCACGCTGTGCTAGCGCCAGCTGCAAATGACAGATTTGGCTAGGGCTTCTGTGTAGCCTGAAATGTCTGATCCTGCCTCAGCTTGGAAGCTAAGCGGGGTCGGGCCTGGCTGAAATTTGGATGGGTGACTTAACTGCTGTGAACCTCCCAGAGCGCTTTGGCTATGGGCCATATGGAAATGCAGTGGGCGGTGATGATGATGATAACTTCCTTCCTCTTCCTCCACAGAAACATCTCAAGTTACAACGAGAAAGAAACGCCTGGTGATCTGGAGCAATGGTGTGGAGCGTTTAGGGGAGAGAACTGCTCTGGATATCCCAACCGGGTTCGGACAACATGGATTCTCTCGCCGTCTGAACCCAGAGAAGATCACTGACCGTGGTCAATGACTCACGGTTCACAAGCTGGTGACAGACGGTGGGTGCTCCTCATGGGTTGTCTGTGGTTCACACGCAGTGGAACACGGGCCCCGGGCAACGCAAGAGCCCACTTTTCAGAAACCCCTCCAGTGACGGCTGTGTTGTCCGAACACTGTCATTCCTTTGATCAGGAATTCAGGTGCTGGGGGGGGGGGGCGGGTAAGGGATGAGTTAACCTGACCCTCCCCCTGAATGCAGCCCCAAAATGAATTTCGCTGCTTCATTTAGAAAGAAATGTGGGAGATCCCTCCTTATTCGGCCAGTTTAAACGTGTCACCTGTGCAGAGATGCAGTTGCGTTGGAAGCCCGAACGGAGCACCGCCCATGCTTATTTATCTGGCCAGGGCGACTTCTTTTCTTTTCTTTTATAACTTTTCTAACTTCTTTTATAGCGTTTATATTTTTTATTTATTTTATATTATTAATTTTAATTTTATATTGTTATTTTTACATTGTATTGTATTTTATTGTGTTGTAAGCCGCCCCGAGGCTTCGGCAAGGGGCGGCATAGAAATGTTATAATAATAATAATAATAATAATAATAATAATAATAATAATAATAATAATAATAATGCCCCGTTCTCAGCAGGCCTGGGAGAAGCCCCAGCTTTGAAGCCATCCAAAAATAGGTGTGGGAGAAGCCTAAGGGGGGGAGCAAACTCACAACCCCCCACTGAGGACTGCAGGTGCAAGAAAATGGCAGTGGGGGGTTCAGGGCACGGAAATGGGCTTGGAGCAGAAGGGCAGGAACCCCACATGGGCGCGCCCTGCGCTGCAACATTTTGTTACAGTTCCCATTGGGTTGGCACCTGTTTCCCTTCCCTCTCCTTCTGCCGGCATCTTTGTCAGGTGCCTCAGGGCAGTGGGTTTCTTTGGTCGCTTTGCTCCTCCGACAAACCCCAATTGTAATAGTCCTCGAAGTCACGGCAAAACTAGGCCTTGAGATCCTTAGGAAGCGGGGACAAATCCGACAGCTCTGTTAATGCCACACGAAGAGATGCATCCCCAGACTGACATGAAAGCCCCATTTGTAAAATGCCAGGCAAAATTAAGCCAAAAGGGACCTGGAAAAAGTGTTTAAAACATTATAAAGGAAAATCCGGAACTGCCCAACAATTGGACTTGACGCAAATGTCTGCTTTTTGGGTGAGGGGTCATTTCATCTGCTTTTTAATTTACATATTTCATGGCTGTAATAAATGCGATTTTAATTCAAGACGAGGTCTAAAAGAGCCAGTAGATTAATCAGTTTGGGGAGCCAGCTAGTGAGGATGTGAGTTTTGTTTCTGGTGTGTTACTGTAACGGCTGGCAAATTGCTTTGCAACCCTTTCCTCCACTTCTTTCCACCTTTCCCAGGATGCCCATAATCCTCTGAGTTTGGAGAGCTACTGGCAATTCCTCATTGCAAAGGATTTAAAACAAGAGAAACCGAAAGATTAAGACTAGATGGTTTTGCTCTGGCACAACACAGAGTAACATGAATGCTTGGAGAACGGTGGAGAAAAGAGCTGTTCTGGGGTACTGCTGGGGTACATTCTAGCACAGGAAGCTACCTGAGACCGTACGGAGAAGCATTCCGGATCAGACCCAAGAGAACCTTTTCTAGCCCATCATTCCGTGCTCACAAGAGCCAACACCACCAACAGGACAAGGGCAGGAAGGATGAATGCCAGGACCACGTCATTGCCAGACCATCGCTCTAACCCAACCTTCCCCGGACTGCGACTTTTTCGATGACAGAGCTCAGAATTTCAGACCAGACTGGCTGGGAATGATGGGAGCTGTACTCCACCCCATATGGGGTGCACCGATTTGGCAATGGAGGTGATAAAGGGCTATGAGGCATGAAATGCATACGTCTGGTTTTAAAAGGTTACTCTGCCCAGAGAGCAGATTCATGTGACGCTGGGCAGAGCGACCTAAGAGCCCAAATTGCGGATGGGGAACGCTTGCCCCGGTGCCTCTTCCTGCCATCCCAGGCTCACCTTCAGTTGAAATCCTATGTGCCAAACCCCAAACCCAAACCCAATCCCAGCCTGAGCGAAAGAGGGCGCCTCCTCGGCTGAGCACGGTGTTCTGGCATCTAATCTCAGCAGGCAAAATGCTTTTCATTTTCTCTCCTTATTATTGTTAAACCGAAGGGCAGAAACATTCAAAAGCAAAACAATGCCAGCCTGCCGGACCCGCACTGGTATGCTCGCCTTGTGCGCTTGGGCAAGTCCCTCAGCCCAAAGCTGGACTATGGGGGACTTCACCAAACCGCACGCTCAGATCTCTGAAAGAACCAACCCCGTGACTCCTCAGGGGCTGATCCAGGATCGGGCACAGAAGAAGAGACCTGCGGGATCAAGCCCGGGTCTATCCGGTCCAGCATTCTGCTCACGCAAGGCCCACCAGCTGCCGATGCGAAGCCCAAGGCCTGGAGCGCAATGGCACCCCCCACCCATGTTCCCCAGCAACTGGTGCACGTAAGCCTGCTGTCTCCGATACTGGAGGAGGCAACAGCCATGAGGACTAGCAGACGTCTTCCCCGGGAACGTCTCCAATCTCCTTTTAAAGTCACCGCAAGGTTGCATGGGAGCGAAGGCCTCCATTTAACTCTGCCCGGTTACCCAGAATCCCCCACTGACCATCTTCAAGGGGTGAAGCCATTCGGACTTGGCCGCCTTCTCCCCAGCTGGCGGCCACCGACGCGGCTCATGGCCGCGGATTCCACACTTCAAGTCCCTCCGTCCAAATGCGCTTGGCCCCCTACGTCGGCTCCCTCCCTGTGTCCTCAGCCTCGTGGGAACAGCCCGACGTCCAGCCGCAGGGAGACGGGGGGACCCCCCCTCCTGTTCCCTTTCCCGGACCCCTGGCATCCGCTTCCACACGACTCTCCTGTCTCTCCGGAGCTGCCTTCCTCGAGGGCTGCAAATCTGCACCTGTCCTCCACTGGCCCCGTGCGCGTGCCAGGTCCCCTTTCCATTCCCGCCCCGCGTAAATCCACAACCGTGTTTGGTGCATCGCGAGGGACGACGAGGCACAGACGGGTTAAACCACGAGTTGTCTGGGGAAGGTGGGTGTGGCAGTCCAACCCCTCTGGAGTGGGCACCCAGTTGGGGAAGGCTGGGATGGGCCAGCCCCAGAGGTGCGGGGTTGGGGGATCTTTTGCTGGAGTTGAGTTGGGGTGGTGGAAACAGCCCCAGTCTGAGGAAGATGGAAATGCCCCGATCGAGCGCCGCTCAGACGGAACCGCAGGCTCTGTGGAAGGGCTGGATATTTCAGACCTGCAAGCCCAGGCATTTCAGGCCGGTCTGAGTGGGGGCAAAGGTAAGCTCAGAACTGAACACCTGTCCTTCCGCGTTCAGGGGCAAACCCTTGGTGCACCGGGGGGGGGGGGGCTCAGATCCCACATCAGCCCGCCTGCCCTACTCTGGGCAGCCCTTGGCCCACCTGGAAGCCCACGCCCCACCTTGCCGCCTTACCTGAGAAGCCAACATGTGCTGGGAGAGGTGGAAGGGGAAGGGGGCGGCTGCACCGGGAGTCCCCTGCGTGGCCGGGAGCCCCCCGTTTTCCAGACCGCTGCTGCTGGCCACGGACGCCAGCAAGTGTCCCATGCCCATGGCGGAGAAGGCCCCGGGGGCCATGGCAAACTGTCCCGGGTGGATGAAGAACGGCTGCCCGGCGCTCAGCGGGTTGAAGAACTGCTGGCCGTGGAGGCCCGAGAGGGCCAGGCTCTGGAGGTGCCCGGCGCTCAGGTGCGGGGGGCTGTCCGTCTGTACCATCAGCGGGGTGAAGGCCTCCTTGCTGCCCCCCAGCGGCGTGGAGTCGCCCTGGGCCTCCTTCTTGGAGCCCTCGTGCGGCAGCGGCAGCTCTTTCCTCCGGCCCTCCTGTTTGTCCTTCTCCAAGCCCAGCGGGTTGAAAATGACCCCCTCCAAGCTGTCCTTGGAGGTCTCGCTGGCTTTGCCGCTCCTCTCCTTCCCGGCCTCGTCTCCTTGCAAGCAGGAGCTGCCATTGCTGCGAGGGCTGCAGTTCCCCAGGCTGGGACTGGGCCTCTTCCCTTCCGGGAGCTTTTCTAGTTCTTGGTCACTACCTTTGTCTTCTGCAGAGAGAGAGAGACAGAGAGACAGAGAGAGAGAGAGAGACAGAGAGAGACAGAGAGACAGAGAGAGACAGAGAGACAGAGAGAGACAGAGAGAGACAGAGAGAGAGAGAGAGACAGAGAGAGAGAGAGACAGAGAGAGAGGGAGAGAGCTTTTTAAAATCCTTCTGTTAAATTCAGCAGGGGCCAGAAAGTGGTGGCTGCCCAAATGGAGCTGGACAACCATGCCCATAATCCCCAGCCAGCTTGAGTTGATAGGAATCGGATCTGGGAAGGTCTGAAATTCTCCCATCACTGGATTAAACAATTACTTTTAAGCTGACTGATCACTTTGTGTGAGCAACTTGAGGCAAATAAAACTGCGTACACACACGGAAACCTCTAGAGAGTCACTTGTGTGGCATTCAAGGCAGTGAGAAGCAACTTATAAAGCTGACTATGGATGGTAAGGAGGAAAAGCCATTATCAGTAACTTCCTTTTAGTAACTGCTTCTGACACCCATCACAGCAAACACACCAGCACCCAAACGGCCTCAAAAGTAAGTAAGTGTTCCCTCAATTTACTGCTGTATGGATTAAAACTGGACTTAAAATAATCAATATGTCATAAGCTGCCTCGGACAAGGACTTTATGGTGCATCATTGGAACAAAAGGACAGTTTTAATATGGCTGTTTGGAAGAGCACATTACGAACTTACATTATCGGTATGCGTCCCAAACTCACATTCTCAGGCTTAAATTTATAGCTCTCGGGGACTAACACTGGACCTTATCCATTAAACCAGGGTTTGCCAGCTCCTTTGGACAAAAGTCTGACATGCAGTATGATCCTATGCATTTCTGCTCAGGAGTAAGAAGGCCATTAGTGATGGAAAGTACCAAATTCTACACACGCTTACACAGAAGTTTGCTATCCAGGGGTTGTCTGGATTTTGTACGTGTGTGTGTGTGTATACAGAACTGCAATCGATTAATTGCAATTAATTGTTAGCTTATTCCGAATTACTCCTGAAAGGAATTAATTAAATGTTCTCCTGGCACGGCCTCTTTATTTAGCTTAAAGAAAGAGACTTATTGTGCTTATCCATGGCAGTACAGTACAATAAATCAACCAACTTTGTAGTTGATTAACCTTTCCAGTTAAAGCTTAAAAGGTGGGGAAATTGACACGATCTGTCAAGAACGGAACAGGAGGGCTCAAGGGGGAGCAAACTGTGCCTTCAGCAGACACCAGAGGGTGGTCGAGAACATGGCCACTGGTTCCAAAACATGGACCAATTCTCAGTAGGAAAGCTATTGAACAAATAGAGGGAGATTATAAAAATATTGTTTTTCCCCTCTCCCCAAAGTGTGTGCACAATAAAACCATGCTGATTCCTGCAGACCTGCTTTTTGGGTTTGTTTTGCAAAGGGAAGTTATTGAAGAATCAACAGTTCCGCAAAGTACAAAACACTCTGAGGTCTGGATTCCTCCGTGGGACTCCCAGCACTGGAGGGAAGCTCCGATCTATCTCGATGGGAGATCTTACCCTGACTGGGCTAATGAGAATTAAAACGGGGGTGCCACAAACATACCATTTCCTAACTGGGGAAGTGAAGAAATCAGTAGGATGGAGATCCCTGAAGGTAAAATTGCAGGCACTACTTTTTATTTACACACACACACACACACACACACACACACACACACTGCGATTTGTATCCTGCCTTTTCCCTACAAAGGGCTCAAGGCAGCTTACATTATTCTTCTCCTCCATTGTATCCCCACAGCAACAACCCTGTGAGGTAGGTTGGGCTGAGAGTCTGTGACTAGCCCAAAGCCACCCAGTTGGCTCCATAGCTGAGCAGGTACTAGAACCCAGATCCTCTGAGTCCCAGTCCCAGGCTCTCAACCACTACGCCACCCTGGCTCTCCCAATATTATGTATTATTATCTATCCTCCCCCTACCCATTAAACAAAAATTAGGTATATATGCATTGAAATCTGAGCGGCCCAATCGGATCATCTAAATTCTGCAAGACTTGCCAGCAATCTCACACCCTGAGCCTAACTATTTACTCAGGAGGGTTCATTTCCATGCCTGTTATGGGACTCCTCTGGGGAAGACAGGTTGGGAAGGCAGGCTAGGAGTCCGAGGGCCCTAAATGCACGTAGGATTAAGCGGCAGCTGTTTGGTTGGTTGCAGCGCCTGTTCGAAAAGTTACCTCTGTTGCCGCGATGCAGCCTCAAGGGACTCGGGGCCGTGCCCAAGGGGGAGCGCAGCGAGTCCCGCACGGGGGCCGGTTCGCACGAGGAAGCATCCGACTCGCCCCCGTCTCGATCCGGCTTGCACTGCTCGTCGTACATCCGAAGCGAGGGCAGCGTAAGCTGTTTCCTTTTGCGGGCACAAAAGCAGATTTTATCGTTTGGCATGTCAACAGAGCACTGTCTGGACCACAGTCGTCCAGATCCACTTCCCCTCTCTGCCTCGGCCATTTTCATGGAGGAACAGGGATGGTGGGAATGAAACCCACCCCCCGCCGAGCCCTGCAGTCTCTGCCCTGAGCTGGCATGTCCTTCCCGTGAAGGGGCTCTTGCACCGAGCCCTAAAACTAACCCTAAACAGGTGCAGCTGAAATAGCCGCACACACATCTTAATTTCTTCAGTGAATTAAATTATATACCACTGAACCTATTTTAAATGATCTCCCAGGGATGATTCAAATGCATTAAAACGTTTATTTAAACGTCATTTTAATTGCTAATATTATTTATTTATTTTACATCTTTGGCCAGGTTGTCTCAAATTATATTGTTTTTATATTGCTATTATTTATTTATTGTCGTGAGCCGCCCCGAGGCTTTGGCGAATGGGGCGGCATAGAAGCTTCCTAAATGAATTAAAAAAACAGACAGTCTAGTGCAATTAAAATACATGAAAATGGCTAACCCCTTTCTAGAAAGCACACACAAAAACATTAAAAGTCATCTATTTTAAACCACCACCCTAATTATTTTTTAAAAAAATGGATTCTCTCAGGGAAGGGCTGGGTAAAGAAAAAGCTCTTTAATCGGAACTTAAAACATGAGAGCGCAGGGAGATCATTCGGCAGTTTGGGTGCCACCACAAAGGAGGTTTCTCTCCTGGTTCCAAGAAGATAACCTGAACTGGGTTGCGTATCTTATATCTCCTACTAACCTGGTAACCCACAGGCCTGCTATTCCTGTTACTTCCCCTGTCAAAGTTTAGATGTTGAGTTCTTTGGAGCAGGGCTCTGTGCCCTTCTGCACTGAGAAACTTAAGCCACATAAAATAACGAGAAGGGGTTTTGCAGTAGGTTTTTAACAACTTTCTGCTATGCATGACTAGGCACATTTACTCAGAAGTAAGTTCAGTGCCTGATCAGGAAGCATCAATATTTGAGAACCACCGTCTTGGCTCAGACCAAAGGGCTACCCAAGTCCAGATTTTGCCTCTCTTAGCCGCCAGTTTTCTCTAGATAGGAAGTCCACGGGCAGGACAGAAATACCTTGCCACTAGGTTACCCAAGGGAGTGGTTTTTGGAGGCCTCGAGTTTCTAATGCTCAAAACAACATCCATCGTGGCAAGAAGCCATCGATGACTGGAAGGGAATTTCTGACCGCAGTCTTAAAAAGAAGGAAAGCAAAAACGTATCTACTTCAGGCACCGTCCAAGTAGATTGGACTACAACTCCCAGCATTCTCAGCTGCCCTGCTCTGGGTGCTAACAATTTGCATCTGACTTATCTGGAAGGTATCAGGTTGGGGAAAGTTGAATAAGTAAAGGAGAATGCAGCGAAGGAAAGAAATAAAAACATTTTGAGAAATATTTGTGTATTTATTATTTGTTAATTTAACATACCTTTTCTCTCGCCTTCCATTGCCGGTATCACGAAATCCTTTTGCAAATGGGTTGTTATCTATTTTCAGTTGTGTGATCTAAACGTAACATTGAAAATGAAACAAAAAAGCACAGCAAAATAAAAACATGGTTAACTCAAGAAAGGTGCTGGAGAAACTTTGTTCCTCTTCTCTTTGGCCCAGAAACCTCTTTGGCAGGTTCAATCCAGAAACCTGTCTTTATTCTTAGAATTCGTTTCTAAGTGTTGATCTGGATGCTTTTTTCTAGGTACAAGACACTGGGCAGTTTTTAATCTGGAACATTTTCCATTTTCCATCTTTCGGAAGAAAAGTTTGGAAGTGGGACTTGAAAAAACCAAACCCAGATGGTTCCTTGAGATATCAGCCATTTAAAAATCCTCTGGAAAAACAGAGGACTGCAGAGATGAGAAGTTTTTAAAAGAAAAAACTCCTGTATCCTTCCTGCCATAACCCACCAACTGTGCCTGTGTGTGAACTTTACTAGAAAGCAAGCTCCATTGAATTCAATGGGATTTACTTTACACTTAAGTCTATTGTTAGACACTCACTTAGGAATAACTTCGGAATTACTGACATACAATCCTGTGCAAGCTTACTCAAAAGTAAGCCCCGCTTTGTGCAACAAGGATTAGTCCCAAGCAACTAATAGTGGGAATTCAACCTCAGGCCTGAAACTCGGAGGATAAAATCCAGACAACAGTGCCCCAGACTCTGCTAATTAATTGGTTAATCAAAATTGATTCCTATCACCAGCAAAATGGTCACAATCAGAGGACGAAGAATATAAATTGCTGGTGCAAACAGGTGAATTTAAGGACTTGGATTTTATTTGCTCCCTCACTAAAGGATTAAACACGGAATAATGAGGTGTGGGGAGAGGAACAAGACCTCTGGCTCCCCAGACGTTGTGGCCTGGACCTCATATAATCTCTGCCCATGAGCCATGTTGGCTGGGGCTGATGGGGACTGGAGTCTAGCAACATCCAACAGATGACGGGGCCCACCTCACTCCGAAACCACCATGTCATTGCAGGGTACCCAATTATACCCAAACACCTAGACGACAACCCTGAGATCTAACCATTTTGAGATCACGCCATCCTTCCTCTGCAATCGCCCCCTATCCTTTTCTTCCAAGTCAATGAGAAAGGAACGCTTTTCTTTTTTAGCTTATCAGTTGGTGAAGGGACCGAGAGAGAGCCCACTCCGAACCCCCTCCGCTTTAACACATCACAGGCTTTATTTAAAATGATGCAGAGGTTTGAGATCAATTATTCATTGGGGTTTAATGATAGGAAGTGCATCTTCCCCAACAACTTTTCTCACGGCCCTCTGGAGGGAAGGTGGCGACCGTGTTGTTTAAAAGCTCTTCGAATCTCTGGGCTGGGGGGGGAACACTCTGGCGCATGCGCGCACCACGCACCGTCTTTTATGGGCTCTGGCGACAGGAGACACCTCAATTATTCATGCCCTGGTAATATGTCCCACAGTCACCGGACTTTAAAAATGGATGTACAATTTGCTTTTCTTTCTCTCCCACAGCCCCCTGCCCTGCAATCCTTCCCCAAGCCCACAAATGAAGCCACGAAAGGAGCACTTCCTTTGGCGATCCAGCGTATTTCATTTGGGGCACAGAGCGGAGGAGGAGGAAACGGATCTGGCGATGGAACAGGAGGCCCCCAGGTGCCACCCAGCGAATCTTACGCTTGGCTCTTCTTTTCTTCTGCCCTCCCTGCCCGCCTTTCCTTGTGTGTTGTGTTTTTTCAGATGGTAAGCCTGCAGTATTTTTCTGACTAATTGTACGCTACTCGGGAAACCACTTCTGGGCTGAGAAACAGCATGAAATACTTTAAATCCATCGGTAAATGGAATAGCTTTGGCATCTTAGCCTGGTGGACAACTTAGGCAAATGAGGAAGTGGAGTTACTTGGCACATCTGATTCCGGTGATAGACTGCGTTTCTACACGGAGGTTACGGATGTGTCGGTCTCTTTTTCCATCATGGATTTGTCAAATTCCTTTTTGAAGCCGGGGGCGAATAAACAAGATATTTCTTCTCCTGGGCTTTTTCCTTCCTCACTTTCTTGCCAATCCATTTAATGGGTGGACAAAGAAAGATCCACACCGTTCCAGTAGAATAAGAGGCAGCGGTGGGAAACTGCTTTCTCCAAACCCTCGCCCGCCTTTCACGGACATCTGGGAAGGTGCTGGGGAGTTGGGTCCAACCCATCTGGGGGCAAACAGCTCCAATTCTGCACACACGAATTACTGTTGAGCAAATATGGCTAGAATTGCCCATCACTGAACTGTGGACAAAAATCCCAAAACCCCATTTAGCTCTGCCTCTGCCCATAATTCCAAATAGGGCCGCAACCTAGATTTCCTTGCAGGTGCAGGGAAAGGTGGAAAACAGCCCTGCCAGTTGTTGAACCCGCAGGTGTAGGAACAGAGCTGGGGGCACGGAAGCAGATGGAGGTGGGCACAAATCCACCGCTTCTACCTCCGGATGCACACTTTCCTCCAAAAATGGCCCTACTGATTTCACTGGGTCCTACATCCAGCCCCATCGAGGAAGCACCGTTCTGACTTTGCTTGCCAGGTGTGCACAGGTGTGTAGGCAAGCTGCAATTTGACCATGTGGGTCCCGAGAGCTGCCCGCAACAAGTCCTCGGGTGCAAGAGGGCCATTAAAGGCTGATCTGAGAACGGGAAAGCGCAACCGGGGAAAGTCTAGACTGGGCCAGAATCTGACCTGCTTGGCTGTTGCAGAGGAGGGATGCTTCGAGAAGGGGCCAATCCAGAACTCAGGCCAGCAGGATAACTGCTGCCCCCCCCCACCGCAAATTTGCAAATGCTAATTCCCCTAAGCTCCGAACTGTGTCTGTGACAGACCCTGCCTCCAAAGGGCATCCCGATGGAGAGGGACAGAGGAAGCAAGAAGCAGGAGGGAGGGCTGCGCAATCCAAAAGCTAGCTCCTCAGGGGGGATTCAGGAGTGACAGCAAGCTGCGGGGCAGGGGCTGGACCCCTCTTTTAGCAAGTGCCCCAGACAGCAGAGGGACCCCCAGAGATTCGGGACTCCACAGAAAAATTCTGGGCTGTTTCCCACAGCACCTTGGCACAGCAAATCCTATAAGCAAGAACTCAAGGGCATTTGCCCTGTAAAAATTAATGCACCTAGGGGAACTTGAAGCATCTTGCTGCAGTCTTCCTCTGCTTCCATTAATTTTAAATAAATTAATGGAGGAGAATAGGTCTGATCACCCTTGATTAACCACGAGGCTTCTCAGTCCAGGAGAAGCAGTAAGATGGTTAAATATGAGAGTGTTATGGAGGCAATTTTCGAAATAAACGTTTTTGGCTAGTGGAAGCCCACCCATGGCTTGTGGCCTCCAGGCTTAATTGACAGCTGGCCTAGAACACCCTGGTGGAATTGTTTGCCTCGTAAAGTTTATGGCAAAGTTCATAATCGATTAACGATTACTCAAAGGCGGCTCCCCAGGGCAAAAAGCCAGGCCACACTACAGGAAGAGGGTGAGCTGGGGAGAGGCGTGTGGGGCTGGGGCCGGCACCCCCTTCCCGCCCCAGGGAAGACACCGACATGGGTGGAAATGGAAATTCCAGAACTCGGTCACTGGGGCTCAGCTCCGCTCCAGTTTCTGTTCAAGTTGCAGCTGGAGTTTTTAAGGTAAGCTCCAGAAGTGAACTGGAGTTTCAAAAGAAGGAAGCTGTTTCTACGGTTTGATTCATTTTCCTTCCTACACTAACCCTGTAAGGTGGACTTCACCACTCCGAAGTTCACTTCAGTCTTTATCCTCAGGGCTAAGAAGGAATGCAATACGTGTACCTTGGTTTCCTCACCTCAAGTTTGTCTATAACCATTATGTCACACTGCTACAATATGGGAGGGGCGGATTTAAACCTGGAGTGCGCCAGAAACCGACATGGGCTGCTTGGCTTTGTTTGCAAAACAAGGGGGCAAGGCAGGCCTAAACAGGAGACATCCTGGAGATGAACCAGGACAGAGCCGCCACATGCAAGTGCAGTCTATCTCTTGGTTTGCCCGGTGCATCCAAGAAAAATTCAGGGTGAGACGGAGCCCGAAGGGCTGCCCCAAGGGAGTACGGCCAAGGTTTGCTGTTGCCACATCCTGCTGGAGAAGTTTTGAGGGCGTCCAGAAAAGGGACCAAAGGAAGCACAAACCTTACCTCCCCGCTGCTCCCACCCTCCACAAAGTTTCCCCGGTCATCCCCAATTACCTTGTCGTTTTGGTAAGCAGTTACTGCTATAAAGTCTGTTTCAGGGAACACATAAGTTCGGAAAGTGCTGTAGGGTAACTTGAGAATGTCATTCGCTCGGACTATATGGAATCTCGGCTGATATTTGTGCATCGAATTAAGGATGGTCTATTTTCAGAAAAAGGGAGAGAGAAAGGTGGTTAAAAGGCAGAAGGGGAAACATGCCACGCAGATTCACAGATTCCCTATTTTTCAGTGGATAACTGCCCCATGGCCACAGTTGTTTTAAAACACACACGCACCATGTCTACACCTTTCTTCTTTCACACAAACCCAGTCGATTTCCTGGTATAAAGAGAATTATTTGGGAAAGAAAGAAGTGCATGGGAGGTGGTAAAAGGGAAGAGGTAAATATGGTGACCCATACATGTTTCAGTAAAAAAGAAATCAGGGATGCAATCCTAAGATGCTTCATTTGGAAGGGAAGCGCCTCTCTCCTGGGTGTACTTCCTTGAAAGTAAGAGCTGATAAACTGAGACCTTACTTCTGAGTAAATCTCAACGGCTCAGCTGCAAATTTCACGGAATGTACAGGGTGGGGGATTAGAAAATCTAAATGATATCTCATAATTTTATCATGCAGTTTTGCCCGATAGTGCTCTTTTAAATTTTAATTTTGTTATTGGAGGGGAGGTACCTAGAAAATTATTTTACAATGGGCACAGAGATGGGCTACCCGTAAGCTTTCCTGGATGTAAAAGAAGACACCAACCTTGCATTTTCAAACACAGTTATTTGTACATAAGCTTCTGCAAGGGGTTCCTATAAACTGGAAATTGCATATCTTGAAAATTGCTCTTGTATAAGGGTAATGCCAGGGAAGAGCAGGAATGCTGAAGGAAACAGGGCTTCTCTTTGATACAACTCACCCATGTGAGAATTTCTTCAGAAATTCTGATAAATTCAATGGGGCTTACTCTTTGGTGAGTATGAATAGGATAGTGAGCTTAGCTACCCCGAAAGGGCTGCCTGCCTATGCACATTTGTCTGGTCGGAAGTCCCATTAAACCTAATGCAGTTTACCTCTGAGTAAAATGTATAGGGTTGTACTTTGCTACAGATCCAGCAAGAGGAAAGCAATTGTCACCTTGCGAACAAGGAGTCCAGTGAACCTAGCAGGATTGGCTTCTCTGCAATTCTGTATTCTATTTTTAACCCAGATTTTTGCTTTCGGTCTCACCGTTACACACATGCGTGCAAATTCTATTGGAAGAGTAGAAGAAAGATGGTTCAAGACAGAAGACTACTACAGACTTTTCTTTTGCTTTTTGCCTACTTGCACTCCAGAAAGAAAAGTCTGTCCTGAAACAAGGAGGCCCAAGCAGAAAAAAGGGAACTACAGAAACGAAACCTGGATTTTCTTTAACCTATTTCTGCCCGAGTATTATTTTAATTACCAGATACAGCACAAGGAAGCCCTGTGGAACCCTCATTTCACCCTAAACCCCCGTTTATAGCAGTGGGGCTTGCAAAACAACCCCCGCAACAACAAAAGTAATACCAGACAGGACTGGTCTGGTTCTGCTTTGAAAGGGCAAATGTGTCCAAGGCCATAGTTTTCCCTCCTATGAGACTGTAGGACCGCCACCGAAATTACTCATGAGGATCCAATATAGACTTCTTGCAGGTTTGACTCCTTCCAAGACAGGCTGCAAACCCAAGACCAGTTTGACCAGGGAATAAGCCCTGTGGAATTCCCTGGTACTCTTACTTCAGGGTAAGCCTATTTAGGATCTCACTCAACTGGAAGTAATTCCTGCCCCCCCCCCCGCAAACTTATTTGGAGTGATCCAAACTATCCTATTTTCACAGACACCCCTTTATCCATAATCATGTTCATGACACCAGACTAAAGTCCTTGGCATTTTTCGTATTAAATTGCTCTAGTTATAAACTCCTTCCATTTCTCCTCTCTTTTAACTTTTGGTTTAATGTTGCTATCAAGTAGTGAAGGAGCTGGCCCGAGCACCAAGAACTTTGGTTCCCGAGCAGTTTAAAAGCAGAATTAACCAAAGAAAGTCTCCCCACCACACAAGCCGGTTCCTCCGCTCAAAGTCACTGGGACCAGTCACCCCTCTTGAAAATACTAACTCCTGGCGTTACACAGAAGCAAAGCCCATGGCTTTCAGTGAGACTGACTTTCTGGGTGCTTCAAATTTGACTCTGGCTTTTTCCTCTCCTTCCTTCCGTCTGTCCCTCCGTCCTCCCCACTGAAACCTCCTGCTTCAGGAGTGGGGAGAATAACTTCGGGGGGAAATGCAGGGTGCCTTTGCAGAGGGGAAAGATCCAGCCCGCCTATCTCAGAAGGTCCTACCTGAAAGCAAGGATTATGGCAGCCTGTGCCCCACCAGCTTCCGCAGTGTGAACACCCTGCCCTCTTGCAAGGCGCTAGACACGCGCTTCAAGGGCAGTAATCCACTGCGGCTCTGCGTGGGCTTTACTTCCGAGTAACCCCAGGGATGGGGTCGGGCTTGGCAGTGCAGAGGAGCCTCGGATCGAGGGGGTGGGCTTCCAAGCCGAGGGGGAGCTGCCGCTTTCCCCCTCCGCACGTTGGGGAAAAGCCCGTGGAGGAGTTAAGCCGGTCTTAAATCGTTAGGGCTGCGGCGAGGCGGCCACGCCGCCCGTGACGATCATCGCCGGGATTTAGCGGGCTTGGCGGGTGGGGCGCTTAACCTCCGCGGGGAAATGTCAGATGTGCGCTCGCTTTCCAGGATTCTGGACTTACCTCAATGCTGGAACTTGACTCTAATTGGTTTCGGAAACCCGTTTCCTCCTTTCGAGAAAGAGGCGCTTTCGCCAAGGCCCCCCGCCGTTCGCGACGCCTTCCCCCGGCCCCGCACGTGGCGCTACTCGGGAGTAAGCCCCCGCGCCGGCAAGCGCCCTTGGGGATGGGGCTAGCAGCCCCGCGGAGCTGGCCGGGGGGTTTGCACCTGAGGAAACCCGCCCAGGGCCGCGGGCAGGTGTGGGAACAGCCCGATCCTGACGCGCGCCGCGGAATTCCTCGCAAGGAGCTCCACGGAAAGCGGAGAGGCGCCCCGAGCCGGAGACCCGATCCAGCCGGGGGCGCAGTCAATTCCGCTCTTACTCGGAAGTAAACCCCCCCGAGCGAGCTTCGGATCTCCCCGGAGCACAGCGAGCCTCCCAAGTTCGGCAGAGGCCGGAACGAGCGACTAACTCCCTCGAACAAGTCCCAGTCCCACAATACCTGAATCGGGCCCTTTGGGGAGGTTCCCCCTCTCTGCCCCCTCCTTAGAAAACGTGCTCATATCCCAAACTCGCTTTAAAAAACCGGGGTAGAATCAGATTGAAGGGAACTGGCAGCCTCCTGTTTTAAAGGATGCTAATTGACTTCCGAGGTGACACGGTCAGGATCCGCGGAGTAAATCCCCGGGAAGCCACCGCGGCCACCGCCCTGAGAGCAGCCGGGGGCGCGTGCCTTCCTCCTCCAGGAAGCTTTCATTCACACGAGCAGCAGCGCCTGGGCCAGCACTGCAGACCCGGGTTTTAGCCCCCTCTCGCCAAACGCGCGCGCGTTACCGCCTGGGTCGTTTTAAGATGCGAAGCCAAGGCGTTATCGATCCAGCGACCTGAGAACAGGTAACCGATCCCCTGCCCAGCTGTGACCTAATCCGGAGCCACTCCCGCGGAAAGCGGGGTTTGCTTTTGAATTAATGCTGGGAGAATGGGGGCGGCGGGTGTCCATCTGAATGCGAGTGGCGATAAAACAATGCTCTTACAGGTCAGCATCCACAAACCAGTCAAGTTGGAGAGCTGGGCCTGAAACTGAATCCGGAACAGAAAAGGGATATGGCCGATATTTAGGGCAGAAGCTCGTACACCTTCAGACCGGAAAATGTCTTCTAATTCCGCAATCAGAGGATGCTTTAAGGTGCTGGGAAGCGTGTCCTCAAACGCCAAAGCGCGAGCGGGATCGAGCCATCCGTGACGCCAACGGAGATGTCCAGGGAGGTCCGCGGAAAACGAGGAGCGTCGGCGGAGCGGGGCGCCCCTGCGCCCCACGACCAGGGCGCTTCCGCGTGGGCAAAAGCCCCTCGGCTGCGCGCCTCGGGCGAGATCTCCTCGGGAGCCAGCCGCGCCGGGCGCTCGCCTGGCTCCCGAGGAGACGCGCTGCGCTGCGGGGCCCGACTCGTGGGCCGCCTTCCCGCTGCGTAAAGCGAGCCGGGCGCTGCACCTGCCCCGGCGCCTTCCAGGCCTTGGGCTGCAGCCCCCAGCACCGAGGGGAGGAGGATCGGTGGCCGAAGAAGTTGGGGCGGAAGCCCCAGCCAGAAGGTCCAAGATGCGCCCGGGTGCACAACCGGCCCTCGTAAACAGGGCAGGCCAACGGACTCACCTGGGCCTCCCCGCCACCAAAAGCAAAAGGAAAATCCTAAAGTGCTAGGGCTGCATGCAGACAGATTCTCGGGCCCCACAACGCGCAGGATCAGAGCCACCCCTATCAATAGGATCAGGATTAAGACGCCGCCCTCTTCTTTTTTGAAATCATGAACAGCTGCATAGGAGTCCCTTACTCCCTTCTCAACGCAGGGAGCCTGACTCGCGAGTAAACACGCAAGCCGCTCAGGCCGACCCCCTCGGCCAGTCCGGGTGGGGAGAAGCGGTGGGATCTGCACCCGAGTAAGGACCACGAAGGCCAGTAGCTTCGTGTCGCCCCCCCCCTTTTAATGGTGGCACGTCCGTGCTCTTTAAACGAAGGGCTAAATCTCTGAGAATGGCTTCATCCTTCGCCTTCAATCCTAAAAGGGGATTTATTCGGAAATTACTCCATTTCAGGCAGACAATCCCCTTGGTAAGCGGGGCTCCGCGTCGAGGCCCATTCGCATTCACACGCTTGGCCTTGGCTATTTAAGGTGACTTCCTGGCCCCCCAAGGGGGATTTCTCGAGGAGCCTTTCACCTGGATGGGGGTGGGTTTTGCTTGTTTGAAAGACCCCCTTATTCTGCTCTCGGCCATCGACCTCTCCTAATCTGCGGAGGCGATCCAGCCCCCTGGGCAGCCCGCTAAACGCTCCCCTGAAATAAAAGCTGACCGCACTGGGGAGATTTACTTCCGAGTAAGCCTATCCAAGGTCGGTGGTGCTGGTGGGGAAGCGGTGAAACTGAAAGCGCTTTGCAGCCCGCGCTGAGCCTGAAACACCCCGGGCCTTTAGGATCGGGACCCGCGGCCGGGCGCGCGCGTCGGGCCGAAGTCTTTCCCGCTACATGATGCCAATGCGCCCTCCCAGGCGCGCCTCCTCACGAGCAAGCCCATTTACTCCTCGGCAAAGGAGGCGCCCCACGCTGCAGCCTTAGCCACGCGCGCTGGGCAGGCATTCTCCGAAGCCGCCGAGCGTTTTTATTTTTGCTTTTGGAGAGAGAGGCCGAGCTTTGCCTCGGCCGCCTTGCTCGGCCTCTGCGCAAAGGCCCCGGAGGACGCGAGGCCGGGCCGGGAAGCTTGCGGGCCCCGCGGGCCCCGATCCGGGGCTGGGCCGCTTTCTGCGTTTCGGACGCCGAGGCCGGCTCGGCCGGCTGCTGCGGAAGCGCCGGGGGCGGGCGCGGACCCCGCAGCCTGGCGCGCCCCTCGGAGCCGCTCCGGCTCGCACGTCTAGGAGCGGGGCCGGAGAGAAACGCGCCCCAAACACAACACACACACTCTCTCTCTCGAGACTGCTGCCAAAGCTGCAACTTACAAAAACGCAGGGGAGGCAAGCACCTTCCCGTAGGTAAGCGCACTGAGTCCCACTGACTTCTATGGGGAAACCACGGGGACTCGGGGGACTTTGCTCTTTGTCGATTTAGGTTGCATATTCACACACACACACACACACACACACACACACACACACACACACACACACGGCAGATTTTTCGACAACCTGCCCTCCAAAAGCAACTGAGCCCCCTACCTGAAAAGAAGGACGCATCCCTTCCCCAAGGCATCCCTAACCCTTATACCTCACGCCCCGCAACAAGCCCCACGGAATACTTGGGGGGGGGGTAATTTGGAGTAACCAGGCAGAGAAGAGAGAGAGCTGGGAGTTCACCCCCGTTCCCGGAGTTTAGAGTCCAACAAACCAGCTTTTTCTGTCCACGATACACCTGTAACCCTAAGGATGTTTATTTTCCCTCATTTCTCCCCCCCCCCCCGCTCTCAGGTCCCCCCGCAACACCTTTCAGTAACCTCTTAAATGGAGTTTAAAGAGAGGTCACTCATCACCTAGCAAAAGAACTCAAGATTTATTGAAATAATCCCCATATTTTCTCCTTCGCTTTCGCCTTCCCTCTTGCCTCCACTCCCCCCCCTCAAAAAAAAGTTAAGGGGTCTTAATAAATGGAGGCTTTAAAAAAATCAATTACGTTCAACGCCACTGCCTTACCCCTGACCTAGTTCGGGGAAATGCATCTAATCCTGAGACCTACCCTCCTTTTTCAGCTCTGAAAAAACAACCCACCTCCCCAGAACACACACATTTTCTAGCCTGAGATCGATCCGGATTAGAAGGCACACGTAAAAACCGAAAGATTCCCTATTGATTTGCAGAGCAGGTCTACTCAGAAAGTAAACGCCGTGGCCAGTTTAATGCAACTTCTGGGTAAGTGCTTCTCGCATGCCAACCAGGGTGCCTTTCTTCTAAAGCTTTTCCAAACACCGACCCCCCGGTTTTATTTTGGAAACAGACTCGCTCGGACGGGAAACAGATTTACTTGCGAGGAAAACGCTCCAAACCGGAATGGTTCATGGCAAGAGCTGCAAGTGCCCAAGCAGGTGGCCGTGTTCCTGGTCCGCCTCCCCAAAACCCGAAGCGCCCCGTGGTACCTCGCAAACACACGGATTCAGTGGCCCCCGGGCCAAGGGCGCGCGATGCGTTCGGTCCACAAGGATCCGTTGCGGCTTAAGCTCAGCGCGAGGTGCTCGTTTCCGCAGCCCTGAGCCATTTTTCGCGTTGGGGATTTGAGCGCCAATTCTTGCATACACTTATTTGGGGTGCGGGAGACCAAAACACAAGGGGGAGAGGACAGAAATGCTGCCCCACCCCAAAGGGCGACTGGAAAAAACGGAGGCTCACGTTCACAAAACGGGTCGAGGCCAAACCCCTTCTGCCTATGTCCAGTTTCACAAACCTCCAGGAACTGATTTTGGGGGGTTGTACTGATTTTTTTAAAGCCTCTTTCTTCTGCCATTTTGAGGAGAGATCGTTCCCTTAATCTCATGTGCTCCTTTGGGCCAGCTGCAAAATGCCTTTACCAATCTTAAAAACGCAAATCGAGCTAAAACTAAATGCTGCATTGACCTCACTCTTATTTGGAGTGCATTTTTAAAAAGCACTCATTTACCTGGGGGTATACTTGGCTGAATGCAAGAAAACTTCCTTCCTAGCCGAAAAAAGGCATATATTGGGATTGGCGTGGAGGGTTCCAGCCACCCCTCCCTTGCCCCTAATTTTAGTCCAGTTTGTCCAGGGATAGGGGGTTGCAGCTTTGATTGGGGTGATGATAATTAATAGGAAATGGATAGTGCGTTTGCAAGTTTGTGTCCTTATCCACAACACAGCACTGAATAAGGAAATCTGCAACATTATTACGTATTGTAGAATACAGGGTCATTTTGCAATCGGTGGGAATTTACTTCCAAGTCAACCAGGTGCAGGGATCTTGTTACCTTGTATTCCTCGCACCCCTTGCTGCAGAATGTAGGACCTCGGTCAACCTGGGGGTCTCTTTCCCCTTTCTGTCTCTGATAAGAAGTGGGGAAGGGAGGTCTGACTTACGGGTTCCTGGAAATAGTCCCCCTGCACTGGGAAATAGGTTCCTACAGATTTCTGTGGGATCGAGCCATTTAAAATGTGCCCCTTTCCAGAAGATTGAGATTTCATGGTTGCTGCCAAGGGGTGACGTGGGGAGAGACACTTCATAGACACACGACATTTACATATCTAAGTCCCCCGGAAGGCTTGGACAGGTGGGATGGAGAAGGGACCTGAGCTGGAAAAGCTGTATTGCAGATTCAGGGGTGCTTCCCTTAATTCAGATCTGGAACCGCACTTTTCAGGAAGGAGTGAGGTCCCCTAGCTGGCGACCTGAGCCCAGGCATCCTGCATGGGTTTACTCAAGAGTCAACGGCTGCCCGCCTTCAAGGAGGCCTAGCCAAGACCTCTGCAGGAGATCTCAGCCTTAAAAGCTATGTGGCCGAGTGCCTTGCCTTCGCCCGCCTGCCCGCGTTTGGGTTCCCAGCGGAGAGATTATCTGAAGACAGAGACACGTGTGGATTGTGTGACAGCCGCTCGGCTCCCCAGGGCACGGGGGCCGCGGTCTCGCACTCAGTGGGGAGGGGGAGAAAAACCCAACCCGAAGTCTGGGCTCTGCCACGGAGGGGAGGAAGGGGGGAGAAAGCGCTGGCGCGGAGGCCACGGGGTACTTACAAAGCCGTGCTTATCCGAGATGTTGTTGGTGAGCTTGAGTTTGTGGAAAGCCACGGGTTTGGCCATCCACTGCTCTCCCGTGGCGGGGCTGTCCGGGTGGATGTACATGCGCTTGGGCATCTCCGGGTCCGCCTTTCCGGCCACCATCCAGCGCGAGTTGTGAAACTTGTAGCGACAATCATCGGCAGCCACAATATCCATTAATAAAATGTACTTGGCCTTTTTGTCTAGGCCACTCACCCGCACTTTAAAAGGGGGGAACATCCGCCTAAAGGCATGTGGAAATGGGGCAGAGAGAGAGAGAGGGAGAGGGGGAGAGAGAGAGAGAGATAATTCAAGAGAGGGCGCCTTGTAGCCCCCCCCAAAAAAACGCCCCTTCCAAAAAGAACACACAATTTAAATAAGGCCATAAAAAACGACAACTAAAAACAATAAGACACGTGTTGCATTGTTGGTGCCTCGTATTAGAAACAAATTCTCTCTATTAAATTTTATGGTTGGTATAATTTTTCCAGCCAGGGCTTAGGTTCACATGCAGCTGAACCCCCCCCCCTTCTCTCATGTTTAATTCCCTATTTTAAGGGGGAGAGAAACACACACACACACACACACACACACACGGGTTCCAGGGTCAGTTATAATTAAGACACAGTGCTTCCTTCCAAGTACAGCTGCCTGTTTTTTAGGGGTCTTTACTCAGAAGTAAGTCTCACTTGAGTGTAATAAAGCATTTGGGCAAAAGAAGTCGTGCAGGATCGGGATTACTTCTGCCTAAACACACTTTGCAATTAGCCATGCACCTGAGCTGGGTTCATAGGACCAGATCCAAATTTTAACAATGTTTACTCCCAGTGTGTCCTCTTGCAACTTTACATAAAGGGAGGGGGAATAGACAAATAATTTGAAGACTCAATCAAAGCAAAAGGCAGCTTTGGTGGGCTAGAGTGTGTGCGGGCGGGTCCTTACAGAAAATAATGCAAGCCTCGTTAATTTTGCTTAATAGATCCAAAGAGTTTGGAGGTTAGAGGAAAAAACATGTCCAAGTTATCCATTCTTCCCCATTTAAAAATGCGCTACAGAGCAGTTTTCTTCGAAGTTAAGTCCAAAACATTTCAAAGGGATTTATTTCCAGGTACATGTAAAGCAATGACAGTGCAAACAGATTTTTCTTTTTAATTTTAGGATCAGATAAACAGAAAAGGAGTTCTCCTCCGAGACTCAGAAAGTCAGGTTCCAAAAGAACAGAAAATCCAAACGACCCAGTTGTACCTGTGGATTTTTAAAGAAATGTTTTGCTTATGTGTGTCGCGCGGATTAATATGTGGGTTGAGTGAACGTATTTACAGATCCCAAGTTCTGCTCGATCTAACCAGGAAAACTGCTTGTTCAGAAAAGTGAAGGCACCACTGAGAAAATTGAGGGGATGTGGGGTGGGCAGGGGGGGGGGAAGGAAAAGAAATCTGTCCAATCTTTACTGGTGGAGGAACAGAAAGAGACGGCTGAGTCTCCAGAATATGAAACGCAAAATATCTAAATGTAGTAAACACCAAGCATAGCAACCGATTTCAAGAATCTGAGAGGAAGACAAGGGCAAAGCTGAGACATGGGTTTGTTTCCCAGTCATCCCGAGTAAATCTGGTTTGAAGTGGGGTTCAGGTATGCTAACAGAACTTCGGCCTGATTTTCGCTATGTGCAGAGTTGCTCCGAGATCATTCAACTGGATTCAAAGGGGTTTGCTCCCCTGACAGTCTGCCTGGGATTACAGCCCTCTTCCCTGCCTTGTTTAAGAGAGTTTAAGGGGAAAACGTATTTTTTTTCTTTTAAACAAATGAATCAGTGAAGCAACTACAATCACCCAGCAAGAGGGGTTTTGAGGATACGAACCTGGAACCCGGAAGCAAGTTAAATTATAATTTTAAAATGAGATAAAATAAAATACAGGCAAATGTATGAGTGATCTGGGAAAATGGAGTCTAATTTTTTTTGTCCTGGAAGTACGAAAACTGTGCAGGGATTGAGAGAGAACAGAGGGAAGAGAAAGAGGTTGGGGCTGGCAAGTGAAGAGGAGCTTCTAAGTGACACCCCGCATCCCTAAGCAAATATTTAAAAGACAAAAAGAAAAGCAAATTACGCTAAGAACAGGCTCTTCTGTCAGTACACACTTTCGCCAACACGCCCAGCCACAGATGTGGAGGCTGACCGTGCAGGAAGGCCGCGTTCATGCACTCGCACTTCACCTGGAGTGAAGATCCGCGTTTCCTACGCGGCACAGGCGGCGGGACTTGCTCCCGAGGAAGCCTCCCAAGCGGCTTCGGCCGGGAAGGTTGCGGCAGGCCTGGGAAAGGCCGCGGGGAAGGGCCCGGCGCAGCAGCCTAGCCCGACCAGGCATTCCCACCGAAATGCTGCGGGGTCCATGCGCCCGGGGGCCCCGGGGAGGGCCGCTTCCTGCGCCCGCCGCTGCCTCTCACGGCCAGCGCGCTTCGCGCGAGGGGGCCGACATTCTCCGGCCGGGGGCGTCCCCTTACCTTCCCGACTTGGTGATCACCATCTCGGTGCCCAGCTTGTGGAACTGGTCCCAGAGCTCCTTGGCTTCCAGGGTGACTTTCGGGTCGTCCTCCACGTCCTCCTCCGGCTCGAGGCTCTTCAGCGAGCGCAGATGCGCCGCGGGGTGGTGGTGCCCCAGGGCCGAGACGTGCAGGCTCGCCTCGGCGGCCCCGGCCAGGCTGGGGTCCGGCAGAGGCTTCCCCAGCGCGGCCGGCGGCAGGGCGAGCGCCGGGAAGAAGGAGGGCTGCGCGGCGGCGAGGAAGGCGGACATGGGGAAGTCGGACGGCCTGGGAGCGTGGAACGGGTGGTAAGCCATCGCGAGCCCCGGGAAGGCTGGGTCTCTCATCAGGCGACATCCACAGGTCCAGGGGAGCGGAGCGAGCCCTCCGGCGAGGGAGGGGCCGGGCAGGGGCGGCGCGGGGGGGGGCGCGGAGAGGCGCTGCCCGCCTGGCCTGGCGCGTCAATTGCGGTCCCGCGGCCCCGTCAATTGCGATCCGTCTTCCGTGCCGCTCCTGCTGCCGAGTCAATTTCGAGCCGCCCCTGGGAAAGCGCTCCCGGGCGCCTTAAAGGGGGGCGAATTTAAGGCGGGGGGAGCCCCGGAGGAAGGAGCCCGGAGGAGGGGACCTCCTACTCACACCCCGCCGCCGCCGCCGCTGGACAGCCCCAGCGCTCCGAATTCCTCCGGGTTTCTGCGAGGCGCCGGTAAATCCTGCTTATCTGTTCCAAAACGGAGCGTGCGGGGGGAGGCAGCAAAACGCGGCCCCCGTCCTCGGGATCTCAGGCAAAACCGGGATCAGCCCAACGCCCCAGCAGGGCGATCTTTGACGCCTTCGGAAACAATGTCTTTCAAAAGCCAACTCAAGATGATCTTGCAATCGCGAGGGCTCGCCGGGGGGGGGGGGGGGGGCGTCCGGTGCGGAGCAGCGTCCCCCTCCCTGCGGTCCTGGAGCGGCTCCTGACCCCCGGAGGGAGAGCGGGAGCGCGAGTGGGGCGGGGGGCCCGGGTCCGGTCTCCGCCAGGCGGGAGGAGGGCGCCGCTCGCTCCCTCGCCCTCCGTGCGGCGCTACGAAGGGGGCAGCTTCGCCTCCGCGCTCGGTTCGCGCCCGGCGCGCCCAGGCG